TAAGCACCTCTGTGGGTGACAGCTGGGGGAAAGAGGGGCATTAGATTGTCAGAATTATTTTAATGGAGATTATCCCAATGGGACAAGCCATTCCCTGTGGAGTAGCTGGAACGTAGCCTGAGTGGGGGACCAGCCACCTTCAGGCGTCAGGATTGAGCTGCAGAGCCTTTCACATGCACATCAGCAGAATGAGTCCTCTCCAGCTCGCTGGGTTCCTGCCTAGTGGCTGCATGGTGGCTTGCAGTGGTTCCCCATTCTAGTTTCCATATCACAAATCTGTCACCATGTCTTGCACTAGGTTATAAACTCCCAGTGAACCAGGGAACAGCTGGTACAGTGTGGCCAGCCCCCAGCAAACCAGGGCCCTGTTATCATCATTCAGAAACTCTTGCTGCTGAGACTAAAATGGCATTAGCTTGCTATTAAAGATGAGAGTTTGCAATGCTATTGTGTGCATTGCATGTGCACACGCACACTGGGGGATGGGTAGGGGAATTAAAAGACAAATGTGATTTAATCCTTTTTTTTAACGGAGGATCTTGGGCCCTGATTTACGGGGTTTCCTTTGTGTTCGCAAAGTTTTTGAGCTGTGATGTCTATCTCCCTGCCTGCAGCTAGGCGTTGCCCTGTATGCCACCTCTGCAAGTGACTTTGGAAGAGGGACTCGGAGTGGGGCTGCCGAGTCTGTAGTCACGTGGACCCTTCTGCCACAGCCCTACCAAGCAAGGAGGGCCTTAGCCTGAACAGACACTGCTGCAATCCCAGTCCAAGTGCAGTTGTGACACCCCTCAGCAGCATGGGAGCAGACCACCAAGCTTCCTGGGGGAATCTTTCCTACTTAGACTAGTCACCTTCATTATTAGCATTGTGGTAATGCCTGGAAGCCTACATTTTGTGCCACTATCCAGCTGTGCTAAGTGCTGTACAAACTCAACAAAATGCAAGTGCAGCATGTTTCATTTCTGCATGGATGAATCCTCCCCTACTTTAAGGCTATCGCAGTTGTGACGAGGTGCCATCGGAAGGGATGTTTTCCTGTGGTTTAAATTAGCATCTCTGACTGGACCTGTTGCTCAGACATGTGTCTGTGCGCTGATATATAGAGAAAGATGTGGGCTTTCATTGCATTACTAAAGAGCTTGTGCTGAACCTCCCCTGTGTATGTTCAGAACACACTCAAGTGTTTAATAGAGGGGTGAGTGTGTGTGTAAAGCAGTGACTCTCAACCAGGATACCATGCACCCTCAGGTGCCTTGAGATCCTTTCAAGGGTGCTGCGGGGTACCATGCAGTGTTAGCACTATAAAGTGTGCCAACACAAGTCACAAGATAAACCCGGAGATTTCAAATAGGAATTCATGGTGTTTAAAGCCATTCTGACCTGTTCATAGATTTTATAGACATTAGGGTTGGAAGGGACCTCGCAAGACCATCGGGTCCAGCCCTCTGCCCACGGGACAGGAAGTCAGCTAGGGTCAGATCACCCCAGCAAGATAAGCAAGCATCCAAGCGTTTCTTAAAGATATCCAGAGTAGGTGCTTGTACCACTTCTGGGGGGAGTCTATTCCAGACTCTGGAGATTTGGATGGTAAAGAGTTAAACTAGTATAAGGACTAGATGGAGTGCAGTTAGTCTGATGCTCACACCTGGGCTAGGACAGGAGATCCCATGGGTTCCCTACTGCCAATTCATTTGTCATGAGCAATGCAGTTACAGGAGGGAGATGTTAAAGCAGCTGGGAAGTGTCGTGTGACATGCAGGGAGAGGGGTCTCTGCATGTCACTCTGCTCTCCATCGCCAAAGCCTTCCACAGGAGCTACAGTCTCTATCTTCCATGCGAAGAGGTGGCTATTTTCAAGGCTTTCTTTGTACCCTCTCCTTTACCTCCTCAGTTACTCAGGCCCAGCTTTGGGGTTTCTGAAACCCACAGTACAGATCTAGGTGCATTCACCACTGTGGGAATAGTGATATCCATCATATGTTTTACCTGTTGTCATTTGTATCTGAGAAATCAGTGTGACCCCCATCCCCCAAGGAGCAGCAGTCCAGTGGGATGCCAGGCTGGATAGAATAGTGCGCTAAGCTCAGGGTAGGAACTGGTGGGGTTCAGGTGTTTTTAGCTCCCATCAGGGATGATCCTGTGCTGAGCAGGGGACTGGACCTTATGAAGCCACTTCCAGCCTGACCTTCCTATGATCCAGTGCTGTAGCAAGGAAGTTTGGCACCTGGGGCAAACCCACAGCAGCAGCCCACCCTCACCCCACACACAGATGTGGAGGGTACATACCCCACCATGTTCGCCATGGGTTGCATGCAGCAGCAGGAGCCCCCTCCCTGCCCAGATGAGCTGCTCACGGTTCTGCCCCGCCTGGGCAGCATCTGCCCCAGTCCCAGCCTGCCTCCTCCCTCACCAGTGGGCCTCCATCTGCGCCCCCATGTCCCTTCCCTCTCCCCATGCCTTCGCCCACCACTCCACAACAGTTTCATTAGCCCAGCAGTGTTTTCCAGGCTGCCAGGCTGCCCGTGTGCATGGTGAGGCTGTGCGCATGCATGTGGCATTTATCAGTCACATCAGCCACATTTTTTCAAAATATTTATAACAAAATATTGACTCAATACTCACCTGTTGGCGCACCTTTGCTTTGGTGCCTGGGGAGGTCACCCCGCTTGCCCCTCCCCTTTCTACGGTACTGCTATGATCCCAAACTGATTTTGATGATGCAGTCTCTCTCGGTGGGCTTCTGAGGCAGGAAGTGTTACAGGGCTGTGCAAGGCAATGGGCCTTGGAAGGATTTGCAATTGTATCCAAAACCAGGACAACACAGGAGGGAGTGGAACAGCTCAACCTGGTTGAATATGTTGGGGTGCTGCTGAAGAAGCCATGGAGCAGCCAGTCCAGAGAGCTTCCTAATAGACCGGGCAGCTCCCTGTAAGGGACAGCTCATCAAGCCCTTACTCAAGAGTGCGTCTAGACTGCAGTGGTTGTGGGTCACGTAGACATATCTGAGGTAGCCAGCCGTGTAGCCGCAGCAGCTCTGAGCTCATCGGGGGGCTAACTGTCCAACGGTTTAACCAGCTTCTTGGTGGGTTTGCAGCCCACACTGAGCTCCTGGCTCTTTCGCAAATCCATTGCTAGCAATACCTAAGCCAGCAAGGTTAGAGCTATCTCGAGCATGACCACACGGTCAGCAGCCACTGCAGTGTAGTTGTGACCTCTCTGAAATGGGGGGGAGACTCACTGGACCCAGGGAGGATAACCTGAGCTGAGGGTTGCATTTATATAAACTATTCAGAGGAGGGATGGTCTCGTAGTAATGCACTGGAGTTGGAAGATCTGGCTTTACCACAGACTAGCTGTCTGAGCTTGAGCAAGTAATTTAATCTTTCTGGGCCCCTGCAGTCAAAGGGGGATACCCCCACTTCCCTTTTCCTGCCTTTTGTCTGCTTAGCATCTAAACCCTTTAGAAAGGGACTAGCTATCACTGTGCATGAAAAGCACCCACCACAATGTGACTGTATCTCATCTGGTGCTTCTGAGTGCCATTGGAGTACAAGTAATAATAATATTTTCCCTTGTGCACCTACAGCATAGATCTAAACATAAGTCAGTGCAGTCATAACTCCATTTGCATGCATGGTTACAAAGAGGAGATCTCTGACAAGAACAGCCCCATTTACCCGGATAGCATAGATAGAGTTGGGTAAAGGGTTTTTCAACAAACAATAAATTTGTCCCAGAAATGTAATTTTGGCAGGTGCAAAATGATTTGCAAAGTCAAGTCAAATTTGTTGAAAAGTTTCAGCTGAAAAAAGAAAATGAGGGACAATGTTATTTCATTTTGGTAGTGTTAGAGTGATGTTGTAGCTGTGATGGTCTAGAAATTGTGAGAGTCAAGGATTTCTTTGTGTGACATCTCTTATGAGACCAGCTGCATGG